ACAGTTAGCTATCACCTTAAGTTGTTTTACGTATACACACTGCAACACATAATTACTGTTAAAAAGTTCCCCCCAAAACTTTCATCCTTTTTACATCTATTTAGTTTATCTATTTGCAACAATTATATTTAGATTGCCTACAAAAACCTCATGAGACATCAAAAAAAATCAGCTATTATTCTTTTTTTTCTTTAAAGATTTAAAAACTTTTTTTCCTTTTTCTCCCCAAAGCCCCCCGGTACATAGTTGTATATTCTTAGTTGTGAGTCCTTCTAGTTGTGGCATGTGGGATGCTGCCTCAGCGTGGCTTGATGAGTGGTGCCACATCCCCACCCAGGATTCGAACCGATGAAACACTGGGCCGCCACAGCGGAGCATGAGAACTTAACCACTGGGCCACGGGGCTGGCCCCTCAGCTATTGTTCTAAGTTATTTTGTACTGACAAATTTTGTAACAGATAACATATTTGTATCATATCTAATGTTGATAACTCTGAAAACATGTTTATTTTGATTAAGCCAACAAACTTAAACAAGCTCTTATTTACCAAACATCATTTTATATCATGTTAACTTGAAAGACCTCTGGACTTGTTTTTATTACCTTTAGAAATAACTTACATAAGTGCTTATTTCAAGCCAATAGAGCTCCTTAACATTATAACATTATACATTGAGAGACTTACATACATAAATATAAAGACAAACAGAAAGCTTCAAGATTTTAGTCATGTCTCAGGTACAAAAATCAAATGAATGGTTGGATCCAAATTGTTCCTCTGGCCGATGAATCTGTTCAGATAGCCAAAGACCTTTACTAAAGATTCTTTTCTTTTGACTGTTAGGATCCTTTTTAGAGCTGTTTTGGAAGTCATTTTGGCTTTTAGAAGCTTCTGCATATTAATCAAAGAATGCATTCTATTGTGAGAGGTTTTGAATTCTCTCTCTTAAGGGTGACCCTTAAAGTGGATTTATCTGAAACAGAGGTTCCCCAGAATGGTCATTTTAGAGTTATATCTCCTTAGCATATTTAATTAACGTTGCCTGAAGAGTGCATTTCTATGTTCTAACAATATTAGGCAAGGGAAACTTTGCCCAGTGAGACAAAATGTTTATCCCCACAACATAATCTATAATAATACAATCAGGCAAATGAGATGCTGTCATTTCACATAAAGCCCATTTAGATATACCAATTTTCTTACAAAGCTTTATCTTCACTTTATCAAACATAGCTTTCATTAAGAGTAAAATAACAAGTCTCAGTTATAATACTACATAGGGGAAGCCTTCCCAGCTAAAAATAACATCCATTCCCAACAACACTCAGGCAAAGCTGACATAACCTCTTTATATAATATTAGCTCAAACATTTTAATCTTTATAGTCTTATCAACCTTAGCAGCCTAACTGTTGTCCCAAATGATTATTGGTCAGATTTCTCATTGTGATTTCTGCCTTCTGGCTTTTTTATTTTTTTTAAATAAGTGTATAATAGAAAACATCCCAATTTTGCAATATGCAACCCAGAGGGCTGACACTGGGGACCGAATCTGTTTCCCATTATGGCACCGTAAGCACACATACATGCGCACACACACATATCAAAATAAATGGGGCCAAAGAATTCCTCTGTGAGTGAAAATCTCTAGTCTGTTCAATAAATTTGGGGCTCCCCCTGAACAAACTTCAGTAACCTGGAATCAAACCCTTGAAACAGAGGCAAACAAATGAAAGGAAAAATAAGATTTCAGTCAGTTAATGAGAAAACTCAACAAAAGGATGTCCATTGCAAACCAAAACAAATGGAACCTAGAGGGTTGCCAGGTAACCATTATTTCTGGCCAGTCCTGTTGGAAAAGGTTAGCAAAAGACAAAAACAAAAATTGCCAGCTACTTACAAGAGACATCTTCTCAAATCCCAAACCTAGTTTCTTCCACCACCAAAAGCAAAAGTTCCATGGACCAATGACGTCTGGTCAGTATCCAGTCTCTTTGGGCTGTCCCTCACACAAAGGGATCAGGCAGCTGCAGGACAGCCTCCTAGAGAGGCTCTCAGCCAGAGGCCAGTGTGCCACAGGTGAAATGTCCATTTGGGACTATGTCCTTTCATGGTCACCAAATTTGATATCGAGCCTGAAGTGAGTTCATTCACCCATCATGCAGCAAGCCAACTCTGACACCAGGTGTAGTGGAAGAAAGTAGGAATTTATTGCCATGTGCTGAGCGAGGAGAACGGGGCAGCTAACGCTATAATCCTGAACTCCCTGAAAAGCTACAAGGAAGGGTTTTTATTTGGGGTTTTAGGTGGTGGAGGGGTAGCATGTGGTCTTGGGGACTGAAGTTCTAAGAATCCTCTGCACAGGTGTGACTATCTGTTCTATGTGTTGCACGTGGTGGATTTTTAGTCTTTGACATGTATTTTACAATCAGTCATTTTAGCTTCTCAATGTTCCTGCAAGGTGGTTAGTCAGCGGGGGGTCTGTCAGCAAGTTCCTCTCTTATCAGCGGTCCTCCTGCTGTTCTGCAAGGCAAGCTCAGAAACTTTGGTTATTTTGTTTCTCAAGTTACCTTCTGGGTATGAGGCACAGTTTCACTCTAATCCAGGGAAATTTTAACTCCTTCATCCTCGGTTTCAGTACTAGAAATATTATTGAACTCGTATTTTGTTGACTATATATATTCATTTCTTTCGGTCATATAATCAGGTTGTGAAACTTCCAGTTTATAAATTAGACATATATTTAGCTTTAGTAGACATTGCCAAACAATTTTCCAAATTGATGAACAAATTTAAATTCCTGTGAGCAACAGAAGAGAATTCTAATTGCTGCATATTCTTGCCAACACTTTGTCCTGTTGGTTTTTCAGTTTTCTGTCTTCTGGTGTGTGTGTAGTAATAATTCATTGTGGTTTTAATTTTCAGTTCCTTGATGAGCGATGATGTTATGCAACCTTTCGTACGCTTACTTGACACTGAATATCATTTAGTGGAAGTGGCTCTTCAAATCTTTGCCCATTTTTATTGGGTTGTTTATTTTTCTTCATTGATGTGAAAGAATGTTTATGTATTCTAGATTTGAGTCCTTTGTCAGTTATATGTATTGTACATATCTTCTCCCAATCTGTGGTATCTCTATTCAGTTTCTTAATGATGACTATTGATGAATACAGATTCTTAGTTTTACCATTGTCCAAATTATATTCTTTTCCTTTATGGTTAGCATGTTTGGCCTTTTGTGTCCTTTAAAAACTATCTTTGTCTGCTCTGTAGTCATCAAGATATTCTCTTACATTTTCTTCTAAAAGCTTCATTATTTTACGTATGACTTAAAATATTCAATCCAATTCAAACTGATGTTTTGTATTGTGTGGGTTAGATGATCAGGTGCATTTTTCCATGTGGATATTTCACAGATCCAACATAATTCACTTAAAAACCATCTTTTACCCACTGCACTGAAGTTTTGCCTTTGTCAAAAATCAGACGATTATACATATGTAGTCTGGACTTAGTCTTGTTTCATTATCAGTTAACCTATTCATGGAACAAAAGTATACTGCTTTATAATATAGATTTATAATAAGGATTGCTATGTAGTAGTGTGTCTGATATCTGCTTATAGTAGGTCCTTTGTATTTTCACATAAGTTTAGGATAAGCTTGCTAATTTACACATGCACACACACACAGACACACTTTGGGATATTAATCCAAATTACACTGTAACTTAAGAATAATTTGGGGAGAAGTGACATCTTAAATACATTGAGTTTCTCTTTCCATGAACATGGAATTCTTATCCATTTGTTTGGTTCTAATTGATCTATGCAGTGTTTCATAGTTTTCACTGGAGAAGTAGCATAAGTAATTTGTTTGTTGCTTTCTCATATATTTGATTTTTACATTTTTAGTAAACATTTTCAATTATTTATTACTAATAGGTACAAGGCAATTATTTTTGTATTGACCTTTGATCTGCTGCACTTGCTAAATTTTATTTATTTTTCACTCAATTTTTCCACACACACAATTATGTTAATTGTGACTAAAGAATATTTTCCTTCTTTCATTCCATTTTCTTTGTCTTACTTTTTCACAATAGCTAGAATCTCTAGAGCAATGCTGACTAGAAATAATGATAATAAATTTTTGTCTCATTTCTAACCTCAGAGATAACTGTCTAAAATTTCAGCACTGAATGTGATGTTAACTGTAGTTTTTCCATAGTTAACCTTTCAAATTAAGAAACTTCCCTTCTATTATAATTTCTTGAGAAGTTTTATTTATATTTTTGATGACTGGTCATTGATTTTTGTCAAGAGTGTTTATGACTCAATTGAAATAAATGCATGTATTTTTTTCCTTCGTTGTTTTTATGAGATTAATTATATTGCTTGATTTACTGAATATTAAGCCCTTCTTGCATTTCTGGAATAAGTCACACTGGAGCATGATATATTATCCTTTTTGTATATTATCGGAATCTATTCGCTAATATTTTGTTTACAATTATTGCATCTATGTTCATGAGTAACATTAGTCTGTGATTTTCCTGTCTTGCAATGTCCTTTTTCAGATTTTTGTATCAAAGTTATATTAACCTCTTAAAATGAGTTTGGAGGTGCTCCTAGGACTCCACTGACAGCCAAATTTAGTTCCAGAACTCCTTTGCTTAACTCTGCTTAGACTGGAAGGTGATCTAGGATGCTTCCACCCCAACTTCTTTTCTCTGTCCTTCACTCAGGATCATACTTGCATCATGATCTGATGGTTCTCAGCCTCCGTGGCTCCTTCCCCATTTTCTCTCTGATAACTTCCCTGCACATTTAATTTTGTCTTGGTATTTGCTTCTTGGAAGACCCAGACTAGTATACTATGTTTTCATAGTACACTGCTAATTCATGCTGGATGGAATTTTTGCTGGGCAAAAAAATATCACTAAATTATCTACCTCAATTACTGGAGGAATCAATATGGAAGGCAGTTTTTCCAGTTTCTCAGTGAGTGCGCCAGTAGTTAGCCACATGGCCATTCCTGGTGATCAGCACAAAGGGGCTAAAACTAGCATAACCAGAAGCTAGAAATATTTCAATATTGAATATTATGTAATCACTTATCAAGAAGGAACCCATATAGAAGGAGAAAATTAAATCTGTCCAATAAAAGAAAAGGAAACAGCTCATGAGAATGAGAACACTTTGAGTAGCTCTGATTTCTGGGCTGGATTTTTTTTGAAACCTGGAGCTCTGAAGGTAGAGAACACACTTGTGATGCTTATACAGATGAAAAGCCAAGTATCCGCTGCTCCAGCCCATGAGACTCTGAAAGATGATATCCCGCAGAGCCATGAGAGTAACGAAAAACCACCTAACTATTTGCCTCGATGGTAGCATATAGCAATATCCAACATAGGGACTAATTTCAGATTTGCTCGTGCTATTGACTGTTGTGATGTAATAGAGCAAGTTAGAGCTTATCAGGAAATTAAAGATCCAGAGGAGGAGGAGATAGGGAAGAACTTGCCATGCAGTCTGTGGTTTGAGCTTCCTCCATGAGGTGGTCCTGGCACTGACGGTGATGGCCTGGACCACGCTGAGGAGACAGGTGGTGCAGATTGAAAGACCACGTGCCACCCTCCCCAGATAAAGCACAGTTTTACAACCAGCACTACCTAGAAAGTTATTGAAATGAAAAGCTGATATTATATCTGAGATTCCTTTGGCACAAAGCGTCATTTCATTAGTAAAAGCCAAGTGGATAAGAATAAGATCTATGGGTTTTTTCTCAACACCCATGACAAACTTGTACACACGCTCCACAAACAAAAAGAAATTCCCTCCAATGCCAGGTCCAGTAACAGAAAGGAAGAACATCCCCTGGATCAAGTTATTCCAAAGCATCTTCTAATTTCATAGACAGTACCAGGAAAAACCTATTGAGAAAGACAAATAAAGATGACATATTTCATGTCTGTGGCTTCTCTCTAGTTTATTAAAGTGAAAAGAACAGCTAGAATACTGCAGTGTAAATGTACAGGGTTCTGTTTATGCATTCTTCTCTTCTCAATCCATGCTTTCTGTTTGTCATTTTATTTTACTGTAACTTCAATTCATTTACGGAAGATGATGACTCTAAAGTCTACATGTCCAGCCTATTATTTATCTCCTTCCTTACACACTGTCCACCTGATTCCTCTAATATTACTTTCTGAATGTTCCGCATGTCCATGTACACGTGACAGTGTCTCCCCTGACAATCTTGCTTTGCTTCATGTATTTCCTAATACATAGTCAATTCCTATTTTGCAATATTGCATTTCATCTTCCCTCATTTGCAACAAATAACCAGTTGCACATTGTCAGTGGGCATTGCAGTTTCCTCATCCAAATCCCCTTTAGTAGCCTATGCATTCAATTCTCAACTGCTATGAGTATTGGTCAGAAACAGTTCACAGCCAGCACCTTGTCTGGAGAATTGCCCTTGGTCAAAAGAGAGCAATCTCTGCCAGGAGGATAAGCACTCTCCCATCTTATTCAAAAAACCAACGCCAATTACTGACTGATATGGAAGAACAATCTGTGCTGTGTCTCAACAGGTGGGTTGCTCTGTTATGCAGATTTACCCCATGGTCTCATAGGCTGGAGGTGGCTGACACAATTTGTTAACTAAGACTACATTGTGGGCCTTTTTTCACTTGTTTATACCTGCTTTATCCTCTCCTCTTCCTCCAATTCCCCCAGTAAATCACGTGAGTAGAATTCAACTTTCAGAATCTGCTTCTAAGGAATCCAGTGAAGACCAATGTCCTATTGATTTTGTCTCCTGACTTTTGTCTAATATTACCATTTTCTCAATAAAACATGCTACCCTGATAACTCATATTATAATTAGTATAACATTTTTCTAACTCATCACTCTTCCTCTAGGTTTCTCCCAATTCATCTTGTACCAGACTGAGATTTCAAAACAGAAGTCTGTTTATTTGAATCCATCTCTTACAGTCCCTCCATGGCTTTATATTTAGTCCAAGCTCATTTGCCTTCTTTTTATCTGTGCAAAGCTTATCTCTTTGGCCTCCTTGCTTTTGTATCAAACTTATAGTAAATTGCTAAAGTACATTCAATTCCTCCAAACAAATTAAATCGTCGTATTTATCTTAGCCACAGGAATATGCACAAAGTCCCTATGCCAATCTCTCATCTGCTTCTGCCACCCTTCTCATAGCTAACTCTTGTCCATACATCAGAAACCAGCTGCTAAGGACTGACTATTTGTGCCACCCCAAAATTCATATGTTGAAACTCTAATCCCTAATGTGATGGTTTTAGGAGGTGGGGCCTTTGAGAAGTAATTAGGTTTTGATGAGATCATGAAGGAGAGTCTTCATGATGGGATTATTGCCCTTATAAGAAGAGGAAGAGACCAGAGCCCCTCGTACTCTCCCATGCCCACAAAGAAGAAATCAAATGAGCACACAGCAAGATGACAGTGCCTACAAACCAGGAAGTGGGCCCTCACCAGACACTGAGTCTGCTGGTAGCTTGATCTTGGACTTCCCAGCCTCCAGAACTGTGATAAATAATTTTTTGTCGTTTAAACCATCCAGTCTATGGTATTTTGTTATAGCAGCCCGAATAGACGAAGACATCAGCTTAGACTTCCCTTACCTAATAAGTACTCATTAAACTCACCGAACTATGTTGCCATTGCCTGTCTCTTTTCTTTCTCCGCTTAACTGTGGAACCCATATATCTAAGTTACACAGGTAATTTACTCACTCTCCACCTAGTTTCCAAATTACCTGACTCTGTGCCTGAAAAATAATATTCAATAAACAGTTTGTAAATAAATAATCAAATGAAGCATGGAGTTATGGTTGTAAAAGTAGCTAGTAATGACACATGAAGTTAGGAGCCAATTAGGAGGGTATTTGAAGAGATTCTTCTCTATGAATCTAAAAACAGGGTCACCTGGAGAACTCAAGTTAACCCATGTTGGATGACACATTCATTAAGGACTTCCATGTCTCCTCAGATAAATCCGTAGGTTTGAACTTCAAGGCTGCTTTTGCAGCAACTTTGCTATCAGCTCCAATAAGATACATGTGCCGTCTTCTAAGAGACACAATAAACTTTGACAAAATTGCATTCATATTTTCCCTGCATTGACCTTCTCCTGACTAAGTAGTTATTATTTGACAGACACGACACTCTAAGACAACCATGGCATCTTTTAGAATGAGAATTTTGTCTTTAGTATCCACAAAAGGATGAAAAATGAACGGGGCAGGTGACACTTTTATACCTACTCTGGCTGCAGGGAGGGGATGAAAGTTCACATATTTCTAAGAAACCTTTGCAAAGCTTTTACAGCCAGCATTTAAGGATCAACTAAAGGCAGTCTGGGAACATGATGCACTCCTCCCAGAGTTTCTGGGCAGAGCCTTTCTGCATGAGGGCCAACACAACCCTGAAGTTCAGTGAGATAGCTGGCCAGAAGGTCCGGTGATGTTTAAATCTCTGCAGGCATGGGCTTCACCAGTGAGATTACTTTTCAACCCTATAAGTAAGGGATGTGAGTTCAGTATCAAGAAGGAGAATTGCCAGATTTAAACACTTAAGCATAGTATATATGAAGCCCAACTTAACTTTTGATTCTGACCTCAAGTCTTCGTTTATTACCCTAGTAAACATTTTTCTAATTGATTTGAGACTTTCAGAATGGGTTAGATTCAAATACATCCTGAAGGACCTTAAGGACCAGAAGAGAAGATATGAAGTATACATAAAAACATATTTATCAAACAAACATTTAGGAATATTTCACCATGTGATATTTCACGTGTATTAGCTATTTGAAATTAAACAGAAAGCATGTATGGTCCTGATGTCAAGGGCTACTCACTGATAGGGGAAGACGGCATGTGGAAGAGCCATGAAAGATGCATGCAGCTAATATAATGGGAACACACAATGTTTGGGAGAGTGTGGTCATTCAGAGGAGAAAAATGAGAAAGGGCTTCAGAAAGTGTGGCATTATGGTAGCTCTAAAATGAAAGTTATGAATATCAAAAGTTTCAAATATCAAAAGTTATGGAGTATGGAGGGTAGAAACGGATGAGCAGGAGAAGCAAATGAAATTTAATAGGCAAAGGCAAAGAGTTGCCAAAAGGATGTACTAGGAAGGGAAACAGCAGGTGGGTCATTTTGATCCCACTGAACAGTGCTTAAATAGTGGATGGCAGCCAATATGTCGGGCTTTCCTGAACAAATCTCTAATTTCTTTTAATTTGTTGTTTACACTGTAGAACTAGTATATACACTGTAAATGATTCCATTGAATGCATTAGCATTCTATACTCCAGACATAATGAATTATTTGCAGTTCAAAACTGCATTATTCTGGTTCATCTATCTGTGCATGGTGTTGCCTCTACTTGGGAAACCAGCCTTCCCATATATTTCTTTATCAAGGTAACTTTTAAACATCTTTCAAATATCACCTATGACATTTTCTGTGTGATGTTGCCCCTAGCATCTGCTAGATCTAGTTTTTCATCTTCTCTGTTCCCATAGCACTTTGGGCCAGTACCCACTCAACACTCAGCTGACCATACTACAGTGTCGACTTAGTTATCTCACAGCCTTATGTGATCGTCTCATGTAATAGAATCTCAAAATTGAAGTTTTGGTTGAGGCATCAGGGCACAGCAGATGCTTGTTAATCATCTCTGACTGCTCCTTGGGCAGATATGGTTTTAAAATTCTTGGATCCTGGCAGGCTCTAATTGAGTTTTTCAGTGTTTAGGAGAGTGGAATTTGGAGAACGTTGTAGGGAAGATTTATTGGAAGAGAGCGATGCTGTGAACGCTATCAAGTGAGAGGAGTGAAAAGCAATGCCTTGTCCTAATCCCAAACCTGGGAGAGGACCTTCAATGAACCACTTAGGAAGTGCGATATGTCTGCTTTGTGGTTGTTGCACACAGGGGATCAGTGTCTGACTCAGGCTTGTCAGAGCCGCAAAGCTCCTTCATAGCAGAGGAGAGTGGCTTAAATGGGAAATAAATGTGCTCAAGGTGATGGAAGATGAATGCTGGAGATATTTTGAGGACTAGATTCGGTAGTATGTTGGGAATGTCAGCTAGGTCTCAGTTTGAAAGAATTCTTGCCTGTGATGGTAGTCTAACATGCTGAGTGCAGCCACAGATAAGAGTCTGTGGTATATATCACAAGTTAGCAGAATCATGGGCGTTTTCAGAGGAGGTTTCCCTGAAGGAGAAGTCAGGCTTGCCTGGAAGGAGTTGCAGCTGGAATGTTTCCAAAGAACTTACAAAAATGTCTAAGAGGGAATTGACTTTAAGCATTTTTCAGGCTAAGAAGCCTAAATCAAATAACAAATGTCCTAGTCCCCTTGCTCCCCACTGATTATGATGAAAAGGGGATGTGAAAAAGAACAAAATCAGACACATCCCTAACTCAGCTAAAAGTTTCACAGTCATCACACCTCTACACATACAGAGGGGAGAAGATTGTGTTTCTGATTCGTGATTTGTGAAGAACTTGTGTGATCTGAATTGTCCTTACATCATTTTATTTCCTAATACTGAAAAGAAAAATTAAGAATCTGCCTGAGTTGATCTCAAATTATAAAGGACAATAGGAAACAAAAGTAAAGTTTCCTCCATAATTACAATCATTAGATTTGTGATTTCAAAGCACCAGTGTTCTTAAGATCTGTTTTTCTTTATAAGCCTGAAAACCAAGTGCCCTGCCAACTTCTGAGACAGTGAATAATAGAAGAAGCATCCTGGATGCTGCCGTTAGATGAACCTGGGTGTGCATCCCCAGTCCGGCATTTACTAGCTCCATGATTTAGGGAACATGTTTTCTTTCCTGGGACT